GGTGTATGTATTGAGATAGAGTGGCCATCGGTCTTGTCACCCTGCAGCCGGGGAATGGACGTTGTGTATCAGACATGAGGCCAACCATCAACCTAACACTGGCACTGGGGTTGTTTTCCATAGAATCCTGGAATGGTTTGAGTTGGAATGGGTCATAAAAACCGTCTAATTCCAACCCCCTGCCCTTGAGCAGGGACACCTCCCACCAGACCGGGTTGCTCAAAGCCCTGTCCAACCTGGCTTTGGACACCTCCAGGGATGGGGCAGCCACAGCTTCTCCTGCCATGACTTCTCAAATATGATGGATAGTGGTTTAGCAACTTGGGAATAGAGACATTAAGCTCCAGTTGTCTCTGCTGAGGGACCATCCAACCCAGGGAACGTTCTCCCCAGGGAACGTTCGCCCAAGCTTTGAGCAGTCAATCCTGGGAGGGCTGGAGCGATGGTGGAGCCTGGTGCTGAGAAGGCTGGAACCGTTCTTTGGGCTGAAAAATCTCATTTTGAGGGAACGTTCCCCCAAGGAAAAATAATCTCCATTCCTTGGATTGCTTCCCTGCCCGTTGCACCCCTTGAATCGCAGCGGCGCTATGAAAAGTCAGACAATTAGTCGATTTGGTCTCAAATGATGGTTTCTCTGCAGCATGAAATGCACATTATTGTTGTTGTTGGCTTTTCAGAGAGCTTCTGGTAAAGCAGAGCGAGGAACACCGTCCATAATAAATCAGTTAGAAAAGCAACTTTACCTACTTGTGTTTGCAGATTGTCCATGAAATGACTGTTTTCATCCAATTTCAACCCTGCTTTGGTGTTTAGGGATTGTGGTTTTCCTGGATAATCCCTCATTAGTGACTCTGGGTCTGGATCTCTTCTCACCACTCGTTTTCTTCCACCCCTTCATCTCTGGGTGCTCACGGTGCCAGGAAAATCTAGATGGCTCTTGCCCTGATGGGAGGATGGTGTCCTGGTGTGTCCCTCTGGCCAGGGGCTGCCACCTCCCACCATCTGGGCCATCTGGAGACCACCGGGACTTGCTACTGGGAGCAACTGGTGGCTCGGTGATGGCAAATTGCTGGCCAGGTTGGGCAGAAGGAGAAACCTTCTCATCAAACCCCAGTTTTCATCAGCTGGATGTTTCCAGTCCCAGATGCATCTCATTTTCTTTATCAGGAATGTGTTCTTTTCCTAAATAGCCATTTCTTTCCATCAATTCTTCCTTTTTTTTTGTTAAAATAAGAAAAGCAAAGAACCAATACTCCCTATGCCTTATGAAGTGTTAAAATACATGTCTTTTTTTGTCGTGCTTGCAGCATTCCCAGTGGGGCCCATTACCTGAATTAGGCTTTTTAAGAGAAAAATAAAAAAAAAAAAACTATAGACAAACAAGCAAAGTGAAGTTTGAGAAGTGATCATACCATCCAGGCTGGCAGCTGCATAAATAAAATCTAAATGTGTTAAAAAATGTTTTTTTTTTCTTTTTTTTTTTTTTTCCTGTGGGGTGGGTGGTGGTTGTTTTTTGTTGTGGTAGTGGTGGTCTTGTTTGTTTGTTTTGTTTTTTTAATTTTACCTCTATCCAAACAGGATTTTGAGCTTAACCATTACTGTAATCCTGGCTTTGGCTTTCATCGAGAAGCCTTCTTCGCTTACTCTCACATCAGATGTACGATACCGCCTTCCTGCCTGGAATCCTCCATGTGGCCTCACAGAAAGCATTGAGATGCTTTGCTTTCTTGTGTTCATGGTGGACGTATCCGTGAAGGTGAGCATTGCATTCAGCTGGTACTGAATGAAGTACTAGGTGTGTTGGGCAGCTCAGGAGGTACAGTCAGTGTGACTTTCCTCCATTTTATATTTTGAGAAACTTTACTCAAATCTTGGATTTGGATGATGAGACTGCTTTGCTGTATTAAAAGCTTACTTTCAGGAGAAATGAATGCATATTTTCTAAATTTAAAAAAAAAAATTGCTTTTTCTTAACCAAATAAATGGTTACTCCTGTCTATGTGGAAGAAGTGGAATAAATTTTGCTAAGCTAATAGCTGGTTGTACTGTTATAAAAATTGGGTTACATAATAATCAAACATATGCCAGTTCATTTAAACAAAACAAAAATACTCAGAAACTGATCTCTTCTTGGGATGCTTGTTTCTGGAAAATCTCTGTATATGCTTATTAAATGGACATATTTTTTTTTTTTGCATTCAAAGGATTCCTCTCGCATGGCCTGTGTTCACCACTCACTTTTACTGACATTTACTTAGTTCTTGCAGAAAAAGTCTCTGATCAGTGTATTTTTGTTTGGATGTCAGGGAGCTCTTTATGAGCATTGATGTAAAATTACAAATTCTTGGAAAACAATCAGTGCTGATTTATTAGGATATTGGAATTTATTAATAAAATAAGCTGGTGGTTGTTGTTTTTTTTTTTCCTTCCACAGAGTTACTTAGTCGGATGGGAAGAATTTTGGAAAAATAAGTGGCTAATGGCTTATATACTGACATTAATTGTTTCCCTTACTGATTGGATTGTATCACTGAGCTTTTTCTGCACAGAGGTAAGAACTGCTTTCTGCAGCAACGATCAGCAGCTCTAGTTTTGGTAAGAGGCAGAGGAGCAGAACCCGCAAAGGGAGAGTCAGCAGGGCGTAGGTGGTATATTGGAGAGCTAAGGGAGGATAATACACTGAAACACAGCAAATGTGTGCTGTAATATAGCTTCTCAAGGGATTCTGTTTGATTTTTAATATAAGATGTGAGGTCATTAGTAAAATGAAATAAAGCTTTGTTGCTGTAGCCTGTCAACAGTCAAACAATACAGAGAAAACTCTGGTTGCGTAGTACTGATGTTGTACAGTTGGAGAATTATGTCCTTAACTTGATTTAACAGCAGAGTCTATGTAGTGATGGATAAGTAAAAAGTAATTGTGTAGTTTAACAACTGCTGTCTAAGATGAAGCTGTGTTGTGTTTAAAACAATTATGTCCTGAGAGGAGTGTCAGTTTCATGAAACTGATCTAAAAATGCCCTCCTTTATGAAATAATGCAGTTTCCTCCTGACCAGGATGTGATGTAGTATCAAAAATATTACCTTAAAATGTTGGAAGAACATGTCACTTAAGCTTATAAGCATCTAGTTGTAAGAAAAATGTGTATGTCCTTTTCATATTCAAGCCAAATAAACATAACGCAGCTGAAGGAAAGATTGTGCTTACAACATGGGGAGTATGTTTTAGAAAAAAGTGACTTTAAAATCTTCAGTTGTGAGAGTGGGTGTGTAGTTTGAGCAGGAGCCTCCCACATAAAACAGTGGCAGAAGGAGCAGTTTAACTGCTGGGATGTATGAACAAGGAAATAGTAAGGGAAAAAGTGATTTTATTTTTTTTTAATTTTTTTTTTTTTTTCTGCTATGTGTGGTCCTGAGAAGACTGGTCCAAAAATACAGGCTGCTTAAATAGCCTTCAAGTTATTTCTTATCAGTTACTTCAGGTGTCTTGAATGCAAGAATCAAACACCTTAATTGCTTTAGTGTATGTTATGGGAAATAAAGGAAATCTCCTGCTTGAGTCTTGCTAGAGGCAGAAATTGCTGAGTAATAAGCAGGCCCTTTAATAATAAAATAAATTTAAAAAGCTGAAAATTTAAATCAAGCACTTATTTTCAAAATGCGTATCTATTTTTATTAAAAGTACCTTGCTATTCTCTTCTTGAAATGGATCTTGGCAGAAAATATGCAAATGGCATCTATTGACCTGCTTGTTATGTCTACCAAGCATTAAAGTTAGATTGTTTATAATTAGTGGCCTGATGAGGCTGTTGAAATGTCAATGTGCATTTTTAAAGCAATCTCTCATTCTTTTAATGAGGCACTCATAAGTATAAAATCTTTGTGTGTTGTGTGAATTCAGTGGGACAGATTTAGCTTCTGAGAACAACCTTTATATTATACTGTTGACTTTGCTGATAGGTGTATCAGTGTTTTTTGATAAACATGTATTAAAAATACTGAGTTCCCATAATATTAATGCCACATGTATCTGATCCGTTGTTTTTTGCAGAGAGTGAGGATAAGAAGAATTCTTCGTCCTTTCTTTCTCCTTCAGAATTCTTCTATGATGAAGAAAACATTGAAAAGTATCAACAGCACATTGCCTGAAATGGCAAGGTAGGTATTAGTGTAGAAAATATAATTTCACAGCAAAAAATACCCTTAGTATTTGGTGTGTGACATCCAAGCAGCTTCCTTCCTGATGGTCTAGCTGGAGTGATTGGTGAGATCGGGTAGTAACGGATGGAGGCTGTGTTAATTTTTTGATTCCTTTTGTCTGTAAAATTTCTCTAGAATGCTCATGATCTGGCTCTGTATGTGACAGATAAGCTTTTTTGATGCCAGTTGAGTGGTGTTTTTTAATTGTGTATGTTGCATATGGCCCTTTTGTAAGGGAAGAACTGAGGCACCATCTGGGCAAAGTTCTATGCCATGTTTCTCCAAGGTGGCCTCTCAGAGGTATGTGTACTTGTCTTCCAGTCGTGAGTGCCACGCAAAAAGATACCTCTTTCTTTACATCTTCAGAGGGCTTTACTTCAGCTCTTTTATTTTTAAATGGTTTTAGCAATATATGTGTTAAATTTTACTGTCCTTAGAAATGTTGAACTGGAAACACCGCTGGTGAAATCGTAACCAGAGAGCATGATGCTTTTTGAAAGAGATCACTTCCTGTCACGTGGATCACGTATCTGCACAGCTTATAGAGCTCCCTGTCCTTGCCTGTTATTTTTTAACTGCCAAGTCCCAGGAGAATCAAAGGTGTATGCAAGCCAAAATGTTGGAGGGTATAAAAATGGTCCTAACTTTAGAAAAACAAGTGTTAGAATCTCATTGACCTCACAACTGTCTAAGATCATTCTGAGGAGTCCTGAACAAGTGTGATTCTTGTTTTGCATCAAAACTTAGATCATCTTCTGTTAATTCCACAGAGCTTCTTAAAAATACCCCTGGCTTTCTTTGTATGGCATCCTTTTGCTTTTTTAGCAAAGGATGTTAAGACTAAGGTGAAGTTGGTATTAATGCTTATGATATGTTTTCTTTCCAACAGTGTTGTTCTACTATTAGCTGTTCACCTGTCTCTCTTTACCATGTTTGCCATGCTGCTGTTTGCTCGAACAAAGGTAACCAATTATAGTCATGCTTTGGTAGATCTTGGTGGTGGTTTCTTTTTTTCTTTACTTGCATATCTGCTGCATGTCTAGTTTTATAATCAAACTGGTGAAACTTGTTTCCCCTGAAACGGTCATGTTACCTTGTCAAACTCGCTGGGATGAGTTTAAAGTCCATTTAGAGAGATTTAATGTGTGCATATTATCAATGTGTAGTGCTGTTTCTGTAAGGGTGCATTAGAAGGCCCCTCAGAATAGCATTAGAATCTCTTCATCCTTTAGTGAAGAATTTTTTTCCAGACTGTGCTTTGCATCTTAAGTGATAATGCTCCTTCCTACTTCACAACTGAAATCTTTCTCTCTTGCTGTAAGCTGTGGCATGTTATTTTATTAGTCTTGCTCTGCTCCACAGGGCAAAGTTAGATTGTTCTGTGCTAAAATGTGGTCGACGTCTTTATTTGTTTATGGTCCTGCATGTTACTGGTATTGATGCCATTATCACAGGTGTGAACTTGAAAGTCTGTTTATACAAGAGGCTTCCTTATACAATTCTCCAATTTGATCCTTTGAGTTACTTTCTCTGCTTTTGTTGAAACCTATGCTGTTCTGTGTCCAAAGCTCTTAATCTTGTCATTTTTTTGTTTATACTATCACTCATTTCTTTTCTCTTTTCCTTATCTAGCTTTTTACTAAATTTAATTTCTTTTGTATTTTCATATCTTCCAATACTGGTATCCCTGGCCATACTTTGGTAGGTTTTTGCCTGCATTATTCCAATGTTTTGATTTCTGGTCTCTTTGTTTCTTCCTTTGTTTTTTCTCTTCCTGCTTCTGAAAAGAAAATTTGAAATTCTGTGGTTTAAATCACTTTTGTGTTCCAGTGCTGTTGGTATGTTCCCTCTCTCCTAAACTTCCTGCATCTTAATAGACCATACTCAGATTTATTTATTTTTTTGTCCTTTTTAAGGCCTTCCACAAATGTGTTCCTATGAGCACAAAGATTTGCTGCATACTTCTAGTAATTTTAGTCCTCTCCTTAATCTGTTTTGCACCTTCATTCCTACTGCAATGGTCTTGAGCTTGCCTCTAGTCTTCCTTATGATTGGCAAATTCTTTGAATTTCCCTGTTATAGAATTTCTGAAATTAGAAGAAGAGCAATATTTTCCCCGCTTTATTTAGTTTCATGCTAGATCTTTGTATTATCTCTGTATGTCACATCTAATTCCAGTTATGAGCTTTCCAAGCAGATGGGAATATAATTTATACTTCTGGACCAGTCAATTTTGTATACATTTAGGTCAAAAATAACAAATTAGAGTGCAGTCTTTCGTTTTTGATTAGTCTAATACCCATACAAACTAATTTTATCTAACAAGGCAAAATGCTGAAAGCATATTCTAAAAATACATTTAGTAATGAAATTCATGCCTCTAGATTTTTGCATTGTCTTGTATATGTCCTCTAGAGGTACATTTGTCCACTCCTTGCAGCAGATTCAAAGCCTGTTTGTGCTGCACGATTCATGTTTGTATTGTTTGTACTCTAAGTCTTTTTTAGCTGTCTCTACTTGAACAAAAAAATAAATATGTGGATGATCCAAGATCAGCCTCCCAGTGTGTTTTTGATGAAAATTCTGACACCACCAGAGTTTTAGCAGATCATCTGATGTTTCCACTGAGCCACAGAATAATTTTGATGACCTTAGTCATCAAAGTAAGTCTTTTTTAGCTGTCTCTACTTGAACAAAAAAATAAATATGTGGATGATCCAAGATCAGCCTCCCAGTGTGTTTTTGATGAAAATTCTGACACCACCAGAGTTTTAGCAGATCATCTGATGTTTCCACTGAGCCACAGAATAATTTTGATGACCTTAGTCATCAAAGTACTTGCAAATATTTTTGTGTGCTGTAGCACTGATCTTTTGCTTTCCCCCTCTCACACACACACACACACACACAGACACCCACCCAAGTTTAAGCTCTCTATGATGTTTTCATTGATAGTACTTGCAAATATTTTTGTGTGCTGTAGCACTGATCTTTTGCTTTCCCCCTCTCACACACACACACACACACACAGACACCCACCCAAGTTTAAGCTCTCTATGATGTTTTCATTGATACTGTACATTTTGAGTCTGTGTTCTTTTCAAATCGGAACAGTTGCCTTTTTTTCCACCTGCCCAACAGCTCCTGTAATGTGCACTAATGCTGGTTATAGCATGTGGCTTTCTGTTGTGTGCTCTTATCTGTGTAAATACTTATTTCCTCTAAAATAAGATAAGGAATGTCTTTGCACTCGAACTTTAAGTACATCTTCATGTACTAAAAGAGACCTAAAACTTGTCTGGCTGTCTTCTGTGTAGATCTCACATTAAACAGACCCCCTTCCCCCCTACCCTGAGTATATAAGGAAATAACTAGAGAAAGGGGACAACCTTTGTTCCAGGTAGTGGTAGTAACTTCTGTTCAAATAACTAATTCAGAGGATGTTAAGTTCTCTATTCAGAGGTTAAAGAGGAAGTCTATGATGTTTTCATTGATACTGTAGATTTTGAGTCTGTGTTCTTTTCAAATCGGAACAGTTGCCTTTTTTTCCACCTGCCCAACAGCTCCTGTAATGTGCACTAATGCTGGTTATAGCATGTGGCTTTCTGTTGTGTGCTCTTATCTGTGTAAATACTTATTTCCTCTAAAATAAGATAAGGAATGTCTTTGCACTCGTAATATTTGCGAATATTTTTGTGTGCTGTAGCACTGATCTCTCATTTTCCCCCTTATCCCCCCCGAGGTTTAAGCTCTCTATGATGTTTTCATTGATACTGTAGATTTTGAGTCTGTGTTCTTTTCAAATCGGAACAGTTGCCTTTTTTTCCACCTGCCCAACAGCTCCTGTAATGTGCACTAATGCTGGTTATAGCATGTTGCTTTCTGTTGTGTGCTCTTATCTGTGTAAATACTTATTTCCTCTAAAATAAGATAAGGAATGTCTTTGCACTCGAACTTTAAGTACATCTTCATGTACTAAAAGAGACCTAAAACTTGTCTGGCTGTCTTCTGTGTAGATCTCACATTAAACAGACCCCCTTCCCCCCTACCCTGAGTATATAAGGGGATAACTAGAGAAAGGGGACATCCTTTGTTCCAGGTAGTGGTAGTAACTTCTGTTCAAATAACTAATTCAGAGGATGTTAAGTTCTCTATTCAGAGGTTAAAGAGGAAGTGAGAGACGCATTTTGCCCTTGGTGAGTCGCTAGTAGTAGCGGTAGTGTTTGAGGCACCTCTTCATTGCTGAGGAAGCTGTTTTGTTTCTGTTCTTCGGTGTAGACAAGATCTACTGTAATAAATATTGTCCTCAAATTGTATTACGCTTTGAGGTGTCCATCTGTGCTGAGGAACAGCATGCTGTAGCTGGAATAACAAAGAAGGCCACTTCTACTATATGTTAATTTTTATAATGCAAGTTGAGACTAAAGATGGTATTAGTCTGTGATTTATTTTTTTTTAAATTTGTTTTAAGTAGTGTTTAGGGATTCCTTTTATCTTCAATACGCTAGTATCACTTGAAGGCTAAGAGGTGATGCTTTTTGTGTCAGTCAAAGGTGGCTTCAGATTCCTGTATTGTCTGTTTGTGCCATTATTGTTCTTCCTGGGTCTGAGGTGCTGCTAGCTAGACATAAATTCTATATTGAGCTTCTGTGTCTGTCTTAGCTTGCTGTTCTTCCTTATGTTTTTAGATGGCTGCTAATAAGTGAAGTGATTGCACTGTATTCCTACATACTGTCCTAATTCTTATGCTTGCCTTGTGCTTTTTTCATGGGGTAGGTTTGATTGTGTGTGTAAGAAATTGAGATAGAGAAACACTGAAGAATCACTAAGACTGTCTGACCAAGGAAGGGGAAACAAATTTTAAAAATATTTTATATACATATCTATCTAACAGTGAACATCTCTTTGACTAGGATGGCCAGCAGGATAAGGAGTGGGTGGGTTATTTCCGGAATTTGCCAGATTCACTGACATCACTGCTGGTCCTGCTAACTACTGCAAACAATCCTGATGGTGAGCAAGCTTTCAGAACTAATTCTTGTCTCTCTTTCAAAAGAAGTAAGATTATCTTCAGACTACTGTAACCATTCTTTCAGCTGATAGTTCTTAGTACAGCCAGAGGAAGATTATGTAAAGATTTTCTTTTTCATGCCTTTACTTTGGTGTAATTATAGCTCTGCTTTGAGTTGGAGATATGTAAGAGCTTTTACCATTTGTCAAAAATTGATAGAGGTCTCCAGTTTTCATCTTAAGCATTAAATTCTTATTTCCTGTTTGATTAAATCTGATACAGTGATGATCCCTGCATATTCTAAGAATCGAGCATATTCGATCTTCTTCATACTCTTCACTGTATTAGGTAAGTTACCTCTTGTCTT